AAATAAATTCTTCCAACAACCTGAAGGACTTAAGCACACCCTTCCTACAGGTTAACACACAGCTGCCTGTGACACTGTATGCAGACAAGCATACTAAGTTGTATTTGGACTCTTCACCTATGGAAACTATCTAATGCTAAAATTGAGTAATTTTTAAGTCCTGAAATTTATGGTAATTAGTTAAGCCACTAAAGAAAATTACCTATGTCAAAGCATTGTTATGAAGATTAAATGATGGTAATACTTACATCTGCATAAGTGCCTATTAAAAGAAAAATGCAAATCTGCAAATCATTCAGGAAACTAAAAATAAAGTGTCTGTATCTGCAAACTCATACAGAGTAGGAAGCAATATTGGGAAGACATACTCAAAATTCAATCTTTGGTTCCATAATTAGACTCAGGGTTTGTAACAACACTCTTCTTTCAAATCTCAAGGTGCACTGTGACTACCTCCACAGAAATGGTCAAGAATGTAGTCAATATTAACCTATTATATACAATAAACTCAGGATTTTCTTCAAGTGTATTTTCTTCTTAATCCAATTCTACCTTAATACCAGTCCACTTCTCTTAAGGTCTCTCCAAGCCCAACAGCTCTAAGAAACTAATGAGATTAAAAATATTTAAATTAATGAAATATATGAAACTATGATGAATTCCTTTTTCACAAATTAGGCTCTATTTGTGTAGGATGATGCAAATTGAGCTTCAGTTCTTTGAAAAATTCATTTGGATTCTTTTTTGCCCTGCCATTATACTTAGAATAAAACATCTGTAGTGGTTTAGAAAGCTTAGACTATTAAAATAATCGACATTTTAGTACTGGTCTCAAGCTGTTCTATGAATATGAATCACCAAAGTTGCCAATTTTACACTATGAAGGAAAAACATTTCATACAATAAAAGTTTATGTTCCTGGTTTTATTTAGAAAGATTCATTTAACATACAGCTGTTGTATATGAGGTATATTTTGAAATAAGTTGTTACTTAGATATTGATTTACATGCACTAAGAACATTTTTAAAAAGTCAACAATTTTCTTCTTTTGAATTACTCCCACTGAATCAGGTTGAAGTACTGCCCACATTTTCACTGCTGTATCATATAAAATTAAAATTTGCCTATCAACAAAAGAATTACTTCACTAAGACTCATTATATGCCTACATTTTAAATTACATTAATGAATAATGTATGTACCCAATAAAAAATGTTAATCGCACACAATTTTATGGTTAGAACATGACTTACTTCATACCTTGAATTGTGTAGGGTAACATTTGCTGGCCAGTCCGCAACTATTAATATCTTATCAGCCTGTGATGTGGTTATTCACAAAAAGTGTTTTTGTTTAATTCTTTTCTTTAATGCTTCTTAATTGTATTTTTGTATTTTGTTCATTACTATTTATTCCTCTCATAACCGCTATTCACATGCAATCACTGTGATGTTGTCTATCTCCAACACTCTAGTTAAAAAAGGGCCCAATTTAAAGGCAACAAAATGTGACAGACCCAGGCACGCCTGGGAGGAATGGAAAGTCACCAGGTGGGAAACTGGACCAGAGGGAACCTGCCTGCCAACCCCACACAGGACCAACATCCAGGACCAACAGTCACTTGGCCAAGATAACAGGATGCCCTCCAAGAGCAAACGTCACAAGAAGCGCCAACCAGTTCCAGCCAATTACACTTGAACACCCCATTTATCTTCTGCTGGTATTGTGCTTAAAAACCCTGCCCTAAGAACAACTGAGCGAGTCTTAACCTTCCTTGGGTGGCTCGCTAACCTCCCTTGGTTGCCTCCACTTTCCCCTTTTTCCTTACTAATAAAACCTGCTCCTTAGCTCCCTGCTGTCAGTTTGGTTTCTTGACCAATTCTGACCTAACAAAATGAAAACAGGGCCTTCACAGATTGAAACCCATTATATCAGATTTATTTAAAATTAAATATGCCCACTGCTTGTGAATTTAACAGCCAAATCTGACTTGTTCTTCAACCTGAAAGCCATGAATGGGGCCTCAGTGTGAATTTTCATTCCCTTCATGTCAGGGTCCGACCCATTAGGGGTCCCTATCTAATATTACTTAAGTCACTGCCTCCACCCAATAGCAACCTGGTAAATACTCTGCAATCATAGCAAAGTGTTTTTGACTAACTGACATGCTCTCCTCAGTGCCTATTTCAACAGCCGCTAGCTAAACTTAACCTTCACTTTTAAAGAGACATAATACACTTTTACTTGGGTACTCAGTGGGACACCTCAGACAAGGTTTTGATGACCAAAATGGATAAAGAATTCACACAACTCCACTGCAGAAAGACAAACAATACAATTTTAAAAAATGGGCAAAGGACCTGAACAGACACTTCTCTGAGGAGGACATACAGAGATGGCCCAGGGACACATGAAAGGATGGTCAGCATCACTAGCCATCAGAGAGATGAAATTAAAACCACAGTGAGGTACCACTTCACACCAGTCAGAATGGCCATCATTAATAAATTAACAAACAATAAGTGCTGTCGAGGTTGTGGAGAAAAGGGCACCCTAGTACACTGTTGGTGGGAATGCAGACTGGTACAGCCACTGTGAAAACAGTATAGAATTTCTTCAGAAAACTAAAAATGGAACTGCCTTTTGACCCAGCAATTCCACTGCTGGGATTATATCCTAAGAACCCTGAAACACCAATCCAAAAGAACATTTGCACCCCAATGTTCATAGCAGCACAATTTGCAATAGCCAAGTGCTGGAAGCAACCTAGGTGCCCATCAGTAAATGAATGGATCAAAAAATTGTGATACATTTACACAATGGAATACTAAACAGCTGAAAGAAAGAAGGAGCTCCTACCCTTCAGGACAGCATGGATGGAACAGGAGAACATTATGTTAAGTAAAATCAAGCAGGCAGCAAAAGATAAATAAGTATAAGTAGAACCTAATCCAAAAGCAAACAAGCAATAAAAACAGATCCAAAAACAGGCAAATAAGGAACAAACTGAGAGTGCCCACAGGAGAGGGGGAAAGGGTATAAAGGGGAAAAAAGGGGGTAGGGCCGCCTCAAGAAGCATGCATAAAGTACACAAGGACTAGCACAATAGGGAAGAGTGGCCAGAGGACAGGGGAGGATATAGTGGAAAGGGGGGATAACTGTAATTGAATAACACTTAAATTAAAAAAAAAAAAGAATGCTTATGACTATCTGGTAAACAAAGCCCTGGGGAAGGATCTCACTTTAACATGTTCCAAAAAATGTTGAATACATATTGTCAAAGTGTGTTGGGTATACTCTGATCAGACCATGCTAAGAGTGGGTACACCATTCTTTTACCACCAATTGCAATGCCTCAATATTAGTTATTGGTATGCAATACCTCCACCTCACCTATATTACACTCAATCACTAGGACACTATATGGCAGTAAGGAGCACAACACCTCTCCAGCTCTTGTACATTTCAACCTTATCCCAAACCTAGTCAATTGCTTTTTGCCCAAAGGCAGAAAAGGTTCTGACCCTTGTGCCTGTCCAGGACTCCATCCATCTTTATACTCCTCTAACAAAAGCCTTGGCAGGGCTTTTGCTTCCCATAATGCACAGATGGAAACATCTTAAAATATCTGTATATTTTCCATTAATTGTCCATTTACGAGAAAGTTCTGAAAATAACAGATAATTGTTGTATACCTCTCCCTCAGTTTCCCCTGCAATATATCATATTACCCTGGTAATATATTATGAAACCAACATTTGTTTACTCTTATTAGATTGTATTCTGATTTCATGAATTTTTCCACTAATATCCTTCTTCTGTTCCAGAACCCAAACCAGGAAACCACATTGTATTTAGTGCAATTTGGTTTGCACTCAGCAACATAAATGTCAATATCCTCTAGAGGCATCAGAATGCCCCATCATGAAACCAAAAGCTTTTAGAGAGAGGCAAAGCAAGGTAAGTCCCATTATACCCCAATCTCCCACAGTAGCAAGATGAAAGGAAATATTTGTCAATTATCCTGCCAAAATACTTTTCAAAGCCCTTTCTCATATAGTAGTACATTCTAACCACAAACTCATTTTTATAGAGGGAATTGATTATTACAACAGGAATGTGGTTTCAAACATCCAGTAAATGCAGCTTTGACATTCAGACCCGGCTTTATTAGCTCTAATCCTGAGAATCTTTCCACAAGAGCATGTTACTAACCCACTACTTCTCTGAGCCAGCAGAGGTGCATATGACTGAGACAATTTTGCAAATTAAACATTATTGCAAAATGAGGCAATGAAAAGAAGGGGCATGATATAAAGAAATTAGTCATTTGGCACATGTATGAGTACATATTAGGTCATAAATTATAGGGACAAAAACCACTGCTGGTGTGGGCACTTGGATACTAATGACAGCATGGTTGGTGACACAATGTACAAGTAGGACTATCTCCATGGGGACTTAATGTCTGCTTTCTATTTTCCTGTTCCAAAAAGAATCCATGCTATCTTTGTGGGTTTAAATATGCAATTGACAAGGTTTAAAGACACGGTGAAAGTACACTGTGTGTGGTCATAGGAACATACTCCAGCTAAACAGAGCAATATAGATTGCTTTCCGGGAAAATAAGAATTCAGTGGTAAATATCAAAACTAGGAATATGATCATTTTTGTCTTATAATTAGTCTACTTCCAAGCGTCCCATGCCTTTTAACCCCACAGGCTTCTGAAGATCTCTGAAATATCCATACTGGATACAACTTAAATTCATTTCATTTCTTTCCAAGGAAAGGAAAGTGTCCACATATAATGACTATTTTACAATTTGTTTCATGATATCTATTTGGTCCAGTTTTAGAACTAGAATTAAAAGTAAAAAAAAATCCCCTTTCAATAGAATCCTCATGTAACATATTAGATTTCCTTAATATAAAGATTTCTGCTTTTCATGCAACATCTTCTCAGGTGGAGTGAGGTCCGGTGCTCCTGGAGTCTTACAATGCCGCCCAAGGATGGCAAGAAGAAGAAAGATGCTGGGAAGTCTGCCAAGAAAGACAAAGACCCAGTGAATAAATGTGGGGACAAGCTCAATAACATAGTCTTGTTTGACAAAGCAATAAATGATAAACTGTGTAAGGAAGTTTCCAATCACAAGCTTATAACCCCAGCTGTTGTCTCTGAGCGACTGAAGATCCGCAGTCCCTTGGCCACAGCAGCCCTTCAGGAGCTCCTTAGTAAAGGACTTATTAAACTAGTTTTAAAGCACAGAGCACAAGTAATTTACACCACAAACACCAAAGGTGGGGATGCCCCAGCTGTTGGTGAAGATGCATGAACAGGTCCCACCACCTATACATTTTGACAAATAAAACTTATTAAACCAGAAAAAAAAAAGACTTCCTACTCTGGAGAAAAAAGATACTCAAAGGAATATTCCAGGAAAACATATAGTTTCCTTAATTATGCCAAATTTTCCATGAAGCTTTTTTGCATTTTTCCTTACCATGTTGAGAGTGGACAACCTTTATAGTGTTTATTGTCATCATTTAAAAGCAAACAAAAAAGGTTTCTGAACTAAAAACGCAAAAATATGCTACACTCACTTCTCTCTTGTGGACTGGATAGTGTGACACTGGATTATATAGTAAGTCTATCTTCATTACAAAGTATCTGATATTGATTTTAAAAAAAACCACTTTGGTTTCTGTCTCATTTCCCATATGCTTCTCGCCTATGCTCTCCAGCCTCACCTCCCAAAACGTCTTGGTCTGGACAAATAACCTCTTAGTTTACCAATTCATATATAATTCAGTGTTTCTTTCTGTGTGCTATTACATTTATGTATGGTATTTTTACCTTCTGCATGTTAAAAAATGGTTTCAAATATTGTCTCAAGGAAAAGAAATAGATGTGACAAAGCTCATGTCCCAAATTCAGGACAAAATTCTTTATTAATTTTTCTATTCTAGTCCTTGAAGAGAGAAATTTCAGTAGTTGTCCTAGGATATTTCTATACACATTTGTGCCTTGAAGAAGTGCTAAATCTGATTACTAGGCAAGCGGGCTGTTTTCACCAACTATAATTTACACCTCTTCTAACCCATATTAACTACCCATCTATCTCTTCTGCCATTTACAAATGAACAGAATACCTAAGTGGTGAAATATTGGAGGACAAGTACAGACAGTTTAACTACCATGCCCTGCCTTTATTCCATATGTGAACAGTAGTTACTTGATTAATGCAAAGTTGCATGAAACAACATTGTATTTTACAAAGGATATACACATAAGGTCAAGCATATTAATAGTAAAACATATACGTAGACATTAATTTGCCAAAAATTTGATTTATGCTATATCTCTGGGCTTTTTCCGACATGTGATCAAGTCTCATGACTCTGTTTCATAAATCTCAATCAGAATGCATTTTCAGTTTCTGCTTCTTTCAGGGAACCTGTAGACTTGTGCAGCAAGGTAGATAAAATACTTACATGGTTTTACAATTTTCCCCAATTCTGCGTAGTTTGATCCTCCCAAATCAAATTTGATAGCAACATGTTTATTAAGAACTCACTTATACTGAATCTTCAATATATTCACCTTGCTTTTCACATATTTTTTTCAAATTCTTATTTTGTCAATGAACAAAATCTTAAATTAAATTTGAAAACTGCAATACTAAGTGCAAATGCTCCAATGAGGTTCACCTACAGCTTGGAAAACACACAACTCACCTGTTTCAGAGACCCCTGCACAATCAGCTGTGGGTACACTGGTCTGGGTTTTAGGCTTGTCTAGTCCCTTTTTGGGAGAAAATGAAGGATATCTGTGGATTAAGTAGAGGAGGAAGTTCAGTGAGCTCAACAATAGTTAGGACATTCAAAATTGAGGAAAGGAGCAGGAGAGGCAGAAAGTAAGTAGAATAAAGGAAAATTCTTACCCTGGCTGGTGTGGCTCAGTGGATTGAGCACTGGCCTACAAACCAAAAGGTCACTGGTTCAATTCCCAGTCAGAACACATGCCTGGATTGCATGCCAGGTCCCCAGTAGAGGGTGAGGAGAGGAAACCAATATATGTTTCTCTTCCACATTGATGTTTCTCTCCCTCTGTTCCTGCCTCCCTTCCCCTCTCTATAAAAATAAATGACATATCTATTTTAAAATTTTCTTTGGCAAATGAGAACAGGATAATTTTAGAGAAATATATGCAGTATACAACCAAGTAAAATCACAAAATACCTGCTCTAAGATATGCTGCACTCTGAAGGAATTCTTTACTGAGAAATCATGTCCCTAATGGGTTCATTTTCTAATTTGAACTAGAATTAATTACCTTAAGCAATTTCCCAAATGCACCTAAAATATCTTTTTCCAAAGATGCTATTGAATTTATAATACATACTTCAAGTTAAAAATAGAAAACTGACAGTCTGACTCTCTCTCCTGCTGTTTCTTTACTGTCTCTTACACACTCCAGATGTAGAAATAATGAAACCAGTAACACTTGGTTCAACAAAAGGTTAAGATATGTTGAATAAAATGTTTCAGAAGTTTCTCTTGCTGTGAAAGTCGTACTTTCATTTTGCACACCTCATAGCATCATGCTTGGGAATTCTTATCAGAATTAAAGACTCTTGAAATTTTCCCGTCATTAACATACACCTTTAAAATTCCCCATTAGTCAAATTATCTAGCAGTATCCTAAAAATACACCAATAGAAAATATATTCAATGAGGTGCTCTCTTGCTAGGAGTCTCTATTTTTAGCAAGCAGGTGACTGTTATGAAATTAAAGGCTGCTTCTATCACATAAAATGTTCATGCTTTAAAATATTTGGTTTTTCTCAATTGCCATCAATCTTTTCAGAGTGTGCAATCCCAGAGGCATTTTCCCTACTACTAGGAATTGTGAAAGGACCACTTTCTTTTCAAGGACCACAATGCAAGATCACACTTGTCAAGAACTAAATATCATTTTTAACGTGGAGTACATATTAGCAAGCTGTTCATTCTAAACAGCCAAAGTAGCAATGTCTAGTTCTGCTCTGTACTAAAAATCGTTTTCTATTTTATAGCTACGGGCTCTGCCACCATCTCTCTGGTCTGCTTACTGTGGTCATGAAAATATTTTCGGAGGAACATTCTATTATTTATTTATTTTCCCTGGAGGTATATTTTGCCTTTGCAATGTCTTTGGAAGTTTTTCAGGAATATGATGTTGCATTTATGAATTAGGCAGACAAGGTCCAGCACTAGATTTCATGGGCTTTCATACTTATTTCCCTTTAATTCACTGTGAACATAAGAAGAGGTTTGGCAGATGCACTGAACAGGGCATTCATTCATTCTCATTAAAACACCTTTGTATAAAATGTTTAAACTGAATGAAGTCTTCCCTAACAAAATACAATTTCTGTTATATTGTCAGTGTTATCAACACAGCTGCATGAGTCTTGCAGTAGTCAGATGGCTTTAATCCCTGGTCGTGTGCCAGTGGAGGCATTAAGGTTCCCTTTCTATGGCCAGGAAAATCTGATGGCTAATTTCAGGGGTGTCTTTGTGTGTGTTTATATCCCTTTTTCCCTTCTCTGGTAGATATACAATATTTCGTATTCAAATCATATTCAATACCCCAGAAATATTTTAAAAACAATTTTAAGAGCTACTAGCTTAGAATTAAGACTTCCTTTACACAAGCACACACATTATTAACAAAATGAATTTCCCGTTACCTGCACCCTCCACAGGCTTACTGGTAATTGCAACTATTGATCTCGTTTTTGGTGAACTCAGATTCTGAACAATTCACACTTACTTAACTGTAGGAGGTAATTAGTAGGTTTGGTTGTTGTAACAGTCACGACTAACTGTACTTTTTCAAATGTTACCATGACATTCATTTGACTTAATATTAGATCTGCTTCTCTGTGAGCAAATGCTTATGTGGAACTTGGAATAAAATATCAGAGATTAATATCAAAAACCATTCTTTGACTTCACAATAGTCTAATTGGTAAATACTAAAATTGTTTATCATAAAACCTGACCACAAATACAATTCCATATATAAAATATAACAATTATTATGACCACAAATGTTAGTGGTACCTGAGTTAATAGATAAAATACTGAAAGGAGCCAGATACCCAAAATATATATCCCTTCCTTATCTCAAAATGTGCTCATTTATATATAAATATAAAATACCTTTATACTTTATATTTATATAAAATATATGGATAGAATACTTAAAACATTATATTTCTATGTGATATTGCATATTATATAACCATAAATAGATGTACTATAGTATATATTTTATATATTAAATAATGTATAAATACTATATAAATATATATTAGATATTAATTATCATGTACATTTATATAAAACAAGCATATAATAATTTTAATATATTAATATAATATTTGACCATTATTAAAATGTATGTTTGTATTATAAATTATATATTGTACAATATATAATTAAATATATATTTACATATTATTTGGTATAATATATAGTATGTTATTATACATCACATATTTAATATAATATTAAATTCATATTAAATATAAAATTTAAATATATTAAATATATCAAATATTCTTATCTTATTAATATGGAATATTAATTTTAAATATGCATTAATTGTTACTTTAATGTATTATACTTATACGTAATAATGTAATACAATGTGATATATTATATAATATATATTTATACATATAAATATATATTTTTTTAGGTATTTATTTATTTTTTTCTTTTTTTAAATTTTATTTATTTTTCTTTTTTAAATTTTTTTATTGATTATGCTGTTACAGTTGTTCTATTCCCCCTTTCCTTCCCCTCCACCCTACCCCCCCATCCCCAACATTACCCCCCCTTTAGTTTATGACTATGTGTCTCAAGTCCTTTAGATTCTATATTTCCCATGCTATTCTTGCCCCCCATCTATTTTCTATCTACTGTCTATGCTACTTATTTTCTGTACCTTCTCCCCCCTTCTCCTCCTCCCACTCCCCTGTTGCTAACCCTCCTTGGGATCTTCATTTCTATGTTTCCACTCCTGATCTAGCTGTCCTTTTAGTTTGCTTTCGTTTTAGGTGTGGTTGTTAATAACTGTGAGTTTGCTGTCCTTTCACGGTTCATGTTTCTTTAACTTCTTTTTCTTAGATAAGTCCCTTTAACATTTCATATAATAAGGGCTTGGTGATGATGAACTCCTTGAATTTGATCTTATCTGAGAAGCACTTTATCTGTCCTTCCATTATAAATGACAGTTTTGCTGGATAGAGTAATCTTCGTTGTAGGTCTCTGGATTTCATGACTTGGAATACCTCTTTCCA